GAAAAAAAATCTTTTGCATGGGAAACTGATTTAAGAAAATGAAAGCTTTCTAAGCTTTTACTGTGTGTAGCCATATACAAAAAAAATGTCCCCTATTCTAGTTTAGCATTTCTACTGTCACTATCAAAAATGGCATTATAGCTTAAGGTTATGTTCAGATTTCCATTATAACTCCCAGTTTTCACATGCTCTTTATTTTGTGAAAAATTCTTCTTTTCAGCTGAAATTTTCCATGCTTGATCTCAGCTCAAAGAGGAATTTTCTTTTTAGAGAGCTGAGCAAAAACTGTTAACCTGTTTTTTTCAGTTATACAAGGATATTAAAAATATACTGAACAGTTTTTAGCATTTCTAATATTTTAGTATACATATATATACTAATAACTCTAAACTTGAATTTCACATGCAGACATTTTCCATTGGTCCTCAAACAAGACTAATACCYGTGCTAATATATATAACAAGGAAAAAAAATAGAATTGTGTTTTTTCCTCTAAGTTGTAAAATAGTGTCACTAAAGATATTATCACATACAGAATTATGGAATGCTATTGTTACAGAATTTTAATATTTGCAGGTGACTTAGGTTCTGCACTGTTATTCTAATGCAGATTCCCATCATCTTATACACCTTGAAATTTCAGAATATTTCAGAATATTTCAGAATATTTAAGGTTGGAAGGGACCTCTACAGATCATCTAGTCCAACCTTCCTGCTCAAGCAGGCACACCTAGAGCATGTGGCACAGGGAATTGCCACTTCCGATATGTCAGAGTCATTAGTGTTTTCAACTTTCCTTTTTCCTTACATAAATCCTAAAGTGGTAAATTTAAATGTTCAGAGTAAGGCTACATCAATTGCATTTGCCACCAAAAGTGTAAGAGATCTGCACTGCTCAGTGGGAACCTGGCTACTCATTCCTCAATCCGGCAAGAAGTCCATTGATTGAAAGAAAGAGTTTATATTATTGACTATATGACTAGAAATGTATCTTTAGGATGGAATGTTTTTAATGTGTCAATCAAGCCCTAAATCCTTACTTTCTATCATCAGAGCACGGAAATAAAGGAACAGTGCTATCATATATTTAGCTTTCCTGAATCTGCTAGAACTGTGCACATTGCCAGGATTAATAAATTACCATCTTGATACAGGAAAGTGCTTAAAATGTGCTTACGGCTATCTTTATTGAAGGAAGCATTTAAAGTCATTTGGACTTTAAAGATGAACTTCTGTCCCATTGACTTTAATCGAAAGTTAAGCACATGCCTAAATGCTATCTGATTAGGAATGCAGCCTGAAGATTTTGCTCGTAACCCATACTGATAAGTATTTTCAGACCTGTGTTATTTGTGACTGCTGTACTTCAAATCTGTTTAAATGAAATTTTTATAATATAAAACTGGAATAACCATGGTAAATTGGCTGCATTTACCCTTATTATTTAATCTATTGTTAATCTAGCATCAGTGAGTAGGAGTTTTTTGTTTGTTTATTTGCTTTTTATAAAAGGTCTTTCATGCAGAAGAATACAACATGTTGTCTTCTGCTATATTTCTATGTAGTTGTTTGGTGTAGTGACTTACTAAATTTGAAGCTCATTTTAAAGTTCAATCAAATACTGAAAASAACACTGATTGAGAAGCCTGCATAGATTTCAGTATTCTTTATGAGTCATAATACTGATTTTGGAAGCTTAGCTATATGAGCTGGTGCTGTGTAACATCCTTTCCATACTCCTAATTATGTTAATTAGCATTTAGAACAATCCCAAGTTCAAGTATTCAAAAATGCTCTTCTCAGAGCATCTACCAGGTTTTCTGCAACATAGGCACTTGAAGAAGGCTTTGGTTTTTAGACTGGGTACTTCTGAAACATCAAACTGCAATTCAAAATGATATGTGAGGATTTAACCACAGAACTTCCACTGCATTTATTGACAATTGCACAGAAATTGCCTAGGAAAAAAAAGAAAAAAACTAAGAATTTTATATCGAACAATCATCTGTTTTTGAATTCTAAAAGATTTCTTACTTAAGATCCATTTCTAACAGATTTCTAGGGTCAAACTCTCATTCACAGTAATGTTTTTTTCCTTAGCTAAAGCCCAGTAGTGGACTTGGGTCTTAGCTCATGGTTTAGGTTTGATTTACCTGTAGTATATATTGTATGCATATTTTGCTTAAACAGAAAAAAAAAAGTAAGTAAAAATGGGATTTGATAATATTTCTTAGATACATATAAAACTTTTATTTCTTCTTCCCCTATCTTAACATTCTCCAAACTAATTCCCATATCCTTTCCAAACCATATAAAAAAAAAACTTGCTGAAGGTATAGGTGAATTCTGTACGCTCATAGTCTGTGAGAAATTAATCATTTTAAACCTCAAGAAAGCAATACAATGACACAGAATTAAACATATCTTCATAAAGAAGTTCTTCATAGACTGTGACTTATATCCTACCATTCTGTAAAAGCTTGAGATTGAACACTTGTCATCCTCTATAATATGCTGGATCCATATGAAAGTATATTTAATTTAGACTTATGAAAGTATATTTAATTCCATTGTCAATGGAATATTAGCCAAAATGCATCCTAAATTCAGGAATTGCAGACAGAGTAATACCAAGACTGCTAATAATTACTAACATTGCTGGCTGCACTCCTCCAGCCCAAAGCGACAAGTGGATGTAAAAAGCTTACTTCCTATAACTTTGTTTTTTATTAAAAAAAAAGGCCACTTTCTCTTTCCCCACACACTAAAAATATGCAAGATCAATTTAAATAATTGTCTCCAAGAGAGTTGCATTTTCACTTACATTGCAGCTTTTGCATGGAATGAACCAAATCATACCTGAGTATCCACTAACATCAAAAAGACTTAATAAAACTCAAATGGAATTTGAATCAGGTCCATATATAACACTATAAATAGACTGAGGCTATTATTAAGATGAAGCCAGTCTATTTAATGAAATGAACACAGGTGAGTCTGAAAATGTTGTGTGTCCTTTTCTCTTCTCATATTCAATGTCACCATGCAGAGCTGATACATTCAGTCAGGTAAATCTCTTTCCTAATCTTAACAGCCTCAGGATCCCGGGGCAGAGGGTGTGTGTGGGAGGGGGTGTTAAATCTGAGTCTCTTAATAGAATTTGGAAAACTAATTTAAGTTAAATTAACAACATCTCTGAGCAGAAAAGGAGTGTGTGAGTGGAGGGTGTTACATTTTGTAACTAAAATGGACAAAGAAAATTCTTCTCATGAAAACTTCAGCCTCATAACCACAGATCCACAGATTATCCAGAGCTCTTCCATATTTCTTTTTTTTTTTTTTTTTTGGAAAAAATAGCTATGTTTTTTAAGTTACACTGACAGTATGTATATGGTACCGCATAACAGCCCGAACACTGTTCCGAGAGTTTACCGTGCTTTAAAGTCCTTTGAAAGGTTAAGGTTTTGTGAGATTTTTCTAAGATGTTTTTGGTGTCTCGTTTTAAGTATGAGTAGCTTTAGAGCAGCTATGTTTAGCAGGCCTGCCTCAAAAGTGCTTGTTTTATTCTCAATATCTTGTTAGCATGACACCTTACAGACACCCAAAGTCAAGACACAGTTCTGGGAACATCACATTCATCTTAGATAAGGCTAATGCAGCAGCGGGAGAATGACTTTATCCTAAACTTGGCTACTGTCAAAATCTTTTTGCAAAGACAAGTTAAATGTGTCTCGCTCAATTCGTTGAGATTCATATCCCTAATAAATTCAGACAAATCACCATAACTTGGAGGCTACAATGCCAGCAGGAATACAAACGTGATCGCCAACACCTAAGAAGTTGGTGCAGTAAAGGCTAAGAGCTAAGACAGTTCCTTTGCAAACGCACAATCTTAACTACTGGCCACTCCAGTGCAACTATCATTAAATAAAAGGTTCTTTGGCTGTAATATCAGCTTGATCCTTCCCTCCCCCCTTTTCCTATCTACTGCAGGACTGGCATCTGGCCAGCGCAATCCACGTAGTACCTTAGTGCCATCTACAGGCTATATTGACATTCTAATTTAGTGGCAGAAGACAAGCACCAATAAAATAAATTAGACAGCGCTGCATTTAAATCTTTATTAGCAAGGAATTATTAGACCTAAGAAAAAACTAATGCTKGATTTGGTTGAAATATGAGTTTCTCAGACTCCTAATCCCTCTTCATATGGTGTATTTCACAGTTTAAAATGAGATATGACAGATCACTTATGCATTACTAAGATGAGAAAATATTTACAATGGGCTGATTTTTTCTGCATAATTCAGATGTATTCAGAGAACGCATTCCTTTCGACAGTATGTTTTGGCCATTTTTTAAATATGCAACAAACTCTCTATGAAATACCCACGTTAATCTATTACAACAAAATCATCTGAACTCAAAACAGAGGAAGACTTCCATATGGCTTAGTTATATCCTACCAACAAACSACCTGCTTCACAGATAAAGTAGCTTGGAAATTCTGCTGTCTTTACTGGGGAAAGAATTAACCCCTTTAGCAACAGTAACTTAAGAATGTTCCAAATCAGTTTGAACCACAAGAGAAACTGAAGCCAACTCACTTTGAAATTTGAAATTGAATGTACATATCTTTTTAATCTTGAAACAGTCAGTTTTTCTGAGTTAAATTTGGCATATAAGGAAACAGATTTTCTTCTTCAACAACTTTTACATTTGGACAGTCAAATACTGGGGAGAAAAAAAAAGTTTTTTTTTTTTTTAATACACATCTGTGCATGTGTACAACTGCATACAGCCTTTAGCAATCAGTATTCTTTAAAATATGAAGTATCAGAGGCATTTTGCAAATGCATGGTTGAGCCCCAAGTAAATAATGAAGGGGCAAAGAGTTTGTTTTTTTTTAATTTTACTTTTTTTTTTTTTTTTTTTTTTTTTTTTTTTTTTTTTTTTTTTTTTTTTTTTTTTTTTTTTTTTTTTTTTTTCCCCCCGTAGTATGTATAACTAAGCTAAAATCAGACTTAAACACAAACATACTGGCACTTTAATACTGGTTGACGGGGCACTTGTATGCAGTACTTATAGACCAGTAAAAGTGCTCGTTTACCTGTCTGGTGTGTAAGGGGCCCTTTGTCTTGAAGCCTCCTTGGGAGCTGCACTCTGAGGCACTGAAGTGATCTGAACTAGTGGAAGAGCGTTTGGAAAGGGTGTCACAACCACCAACAAAGGTGTTGTCCAACGGGAGTTCCTGAATCACATGGTGCTTTTTTACTGAAACTGGAGTGTCAGGTTTGAGATGAAAAGCAGACTGTGGAGAGGCAGACTTGTAATGCTTGGCAAGATCAGGACTGTTAGGCTTAAAGGTTGTTGGCGGTGCTGTGCCCCAGTCAAATCTTCCTATACTTTGCTCCTCCAGCTCCGCTGGAAGGCTTATTGTCCCGTTGATAGGTTCATGAACTGCATCATCAGGTTTGGACTCCTCAATGGTCACAAAGTTCAAAAGGGAACTCTTTGGAGATTTCCTTTTCTTCCTTTTCTTTTTCTTGTTTTGCTTGTTCTCCTGATTGGGAGACATCCACTCAGCACCCTGCTTGCTCCTCTGGGCTGCTTTGAACCTGGATGCATGGCGACAGCGGACAAGAACTGTGACAAATATCACTACTATGACAACCATAGCACCTGCCACAATAGCAATCATGATCGTCAGATAGTCCTCATTTTGGTAGGGCTGGCTACTGTCCCCGATGTTCCGGTCCAGAGGTGTTTCCATAGTCCTGCGTATCAAGTCGTAAATGTAAGAGGCATTTCCAGCAGTATCATTTACATACAAAAATACCAGCACAAGGGTATGCAAGGATTTGGGATAACCCAGATCACTTATGTTGACCACTAAACGATGCAGCCCTACATCATTAGGAGTTGGTTTCTCTTCCAGAGTGATATTACCTGTCACAGGGTCAATACGAAACAAACCTTTGTTATTTCCACTTACAATCGTATACTTCAGTTCGGCATTCATTCCAGTGTCTATATCCACAGCAAACACTTCTGCTACAACCGATCCTGGAATTGCTGAAAGTGGCACTAGCTTAAAAGAAGTATTGGAGGGTGGGTAGATGACAACAGGACTGTTATCATTAACATCCATGACATTTATTGTGACTTTCGCTGTAGAAGAGCGAGGTGGTTGTCCTCCATCCACGGCCTTGACATCAAAGGTGTAGGAGCTCTGCTGTTCTCGGTCAAAAGAAACGTTGGACTTTATAACTCCAGAGAAAGGATCCAGCACAAAGTTTTCATTGTCATTGAGGATGGAAAGAGCCACCGCTTTATTTTCCCCAGCATCTGCATCAGTCACCGTTATGACGCCCACGGTGCTATACTTTGGCAAGTTCTCCGACACAAAAAATTGGAAGTGATTATGAGTAAACTTGGGACTGTTGTCATTTTCATCCAAGACAGTAACAATCACAGCTGCTTGACTCTGCAGAGGAGGGGTGCCGTTGTCCCTGGCTGTAACGGTGAAAATGAACCGCTCTTGTTCTTCTCTGTCAAAAACTCTGGAGGCTGTCAAAACTCCCGTCTTTCGATCCAGATCAAAAAAGGAGGCATTAGGGCCAAGCTGATAAACAATGTCTGCATTTTTCCCACTGTCTTCATCTGTGGCACTAATAGTTGTTAAGTATAGACCACGGCGGTTGTTTTCAGAAACTGACAGCTCAATTACAGGCTGGCTGAAAATCGGAGGGTTGTCATTTTCATCCTCCAGTTTAACTCTTACCAGGGCAGTCTGGTTCAAACTGGGCTTGCCAGAATCAGAGGCGACAATTTTAAAGCTGAATTCTTTGGTGCCCTCATAGTCCAACAAGGAAGAAGTCTCTAACAAATACTGGTTGTCGTAAACTGCCTTCAAGTGAAAGGGGACCTCTCTCTCAATGAAACAGATTACTTTGCCATTCACATCAGTGTCCTTATCTGAAACTGTAATTAGAGCAATCTTTGTATTGATAGGATCTTTCTCAGATAAGTACACTGTGCCATTGATGGGACTTATTATGTACCTGAGGTCTATGTTAGGAGGATTATCGTTTACATCAGTGACATTGATGGTAACCGTTGCCCGAGCCGGAGTGGAGCTACCATCACTAGCCAGCACTGTCACCTTGTGAATAGCAGTCTCTTCCCGATCTAAGGACCTCTGAACTGTAATCAGCCCTGTGGTGTTGTTTAAAGCAAAAAATCTTTTGGTTGCAGGGGCAACTTGGGCACCAAAAATATATCTGATTTCTGCATTGCTTCCTATGTCTGCATCTGTAGCATGAAGCTGAATTACAGAAGTGCCTACAGGGGCATTCTCTGGTATATGAACCTCTACTTGACTCTCTTTAAAAACTGGCCTATTATCATTGACATCACTTACTGTGACTTGCAGGATGGCAGTGCTGGATTTCTGGGGGGTACCTCCATCCTCCACTTTGATTTTCATCACATAGGTGTCCTTTTGCTCTCTATCCAAGTTCTGCTGCACAATCAGTTGAGGCCATTTCTCGCCTTCTGGAGTCTCTACGATATCCAGTCCAAAGACACTCTGTCCATTTAACAGCTCATAATGCTGCACGCCATTGAAACCTGTGTCAGGATCTGTGGCTGATGGGATTGGAAAGCGGCTGTTGATCAGAGTGTTTTCTGGTATGGAGATATTGATGACAGGCGATGGAAACATGGGTGCGTTGTCATTAGTATCCTTTACAATAATTTTTATTTTGATCAGCCTAAAAAAGTCATTGGGGAGAATCACCACTTCGAGTTCAAAGAAACACTCATTTTCTTCAGCGTAAGCAGCTCCAGCACAGAGTTTTTCTCTGTCTATTCTGTTAGACGTCGTGAAGATCTCCCCGGTGGTACTGGACACTTTGACCAGAGGGGCATCCCCTGCTTTAGAAACAAGTCTGTAGACAAGGCTGGCACTGGTCCCCGTGGCAGCATTGATATGAGAAATGTTCAGATCCTTTGGTATGTTTCCTATGGGTACATTTTCAGGCAGCTCCTCTCTAATAGTGTAAATAAGTTCTTGAGCTATAGCAGAATCCAGCCTTAAACAGGCAATCAGAGCAGCCAAAAGGTAAAAATCCCTCAGGTCCATGATAATGTTTTTATACTCTTTTCCCAGATTTTAGGACTTAAAGGTTTCCACAGAGGAATGATGCGCGATTTGCAAGAGGAAGCATGCATGGGCTGCAGGATGYATTACATCTCATTTCTTATTTGGAGACAGCACTGTCAACATAACCATACAGAACACCATTATTGGTTTTTTTTTTTTTTTTTCTCTCTAAGGTACAACACATCTATAATTCCCAACTACTACTTGTTTTTGCAATGCACACTTTCAGCAGTACATTTTCTTATTGCTCCCTTTCGCTAGCAATCCCCCCRGATGAATGAACCAATATCCCGTTGACTGCATTTGCACAGAGCAGGAATGGAAATAACTACTTGCAGGATTAAGGGCAGCTACAGTTTCGACACATACTTTCTGAATAATTTCTCAGTACACCGTGTAATCCATAATGTGCATTCCTCCCTCCACCTTCCTCCACCCAGTCATTTGGCGCAAGTGAAAAACCTTCCTGTACTTCTTCTGGCTTCAGTGCTAACTGCTATGTCAGCTGCCAAATGTAATTTGTTGTTTGCTTCCATATGTGTTTTGTTGCTCTTGTTACCCAGATCTTGCTCCTTGTGTCTTGCATGCCCCTCTGTTGCTCTCATACTGGGAAATAACCACCCGGACATGCTGCTGCTGCAGCAGTCGTCACTGGCTACTTCACATCCCTATTAACTGACAAGACAATAACAGGACTTACAGTTTTTCATACTCTCAGCTCAAAATTTCCCCCCCAGATGCTGGATATTTCCCCTTCTGCTTAAAACCTTCAACTTTGCTTTTTTTAGCTAATGGGGGTCTGGGGGCATCCAAATGTAACTTAGGAGCAGCCAGTATGTTTACAGAAGGGGAGTGGGGGGGGGAGATACATTTTCTGATCATAGGAGGAGGAAAAAAAAAAAGGTACAGCCTTTCACCATTGACACTGGTCTCCCCCCAGAATGTTATTAACAGCTGCCACAAAAAAAAAAAAAAAAAAAAAAAAAAAAGTTAAAAAAAAAAAAAAAAAAAAAAAAAAAAAAAAGAAAAAAAAAGAAAGGGAAAAAAAAGGCAACAGAAAGACTTCTGCTTACATGCTCTGCTAACAGCGAATTACACGGGTGCCAGGCTCTCAGCATCTAGTTTGTCGGCACCGGGCAGCCCCCGAGCACTAATCTTATCTGCATTAAGCTGCACGGTAGCTGCTGCCCGTGATTACTTCCAGCAGAGTGATGCAGGTAGGGATGCAGAGCCAGCGWGTAGGTGAGCCCTAGCCACCAACATCAGCTGCATCCGAAATGCCGATCTTTACCCTAGATAAGCATCCTGCGTGTCTTTTTTTTTTTCCTTTCTTTCTTTTTTGAAATGAAATACACCCGGGTGCATGGGTAACTTTGCACTTACGTTGGTAGTCTACCTTTGACGATCTGCTGCAGCTAAGCAATGATCTGTTCGGGCAGATACAGCACAACGCGTCTGGTAAACCACCAGTTTTGGAGAAATCAGCAGCAGCCAAACGCTTCCTCCTTGAGATATGTGTTGCTTCGGGGTGGCAAATTAGCAACTCCAAGGAACAAATTCATAGTTCCGCCGTCAGTCATCCTCTCCACGCTTCATCTCTATTAAGCGGCGATCCTTCGGGGCTTTTAACGTGCACGCGACAACACCAAACACGACAGCGAGCAAAAAAAAATCCAGTGCACTTCTTTACATCGGGGGTATTTTCCACTCTGCACTGCACACCATTCCCATCCCCTTCTCAGCAGCGCAGAGGCAGCTGCCTTAAGTCTGCAAGTTCTTACTGGAAATGTCAGAGTTGGGCTGGCGGTGCTTCTCTTTTCTTTCTGGGGGTGACAGCGGCCCAAGAAAAAGAAGGAAAAAAAATAAAATAAATAAATAAAAATCCTAATAGGCTATTGCTTCAGTGATGGGAGGAAGCGGCAGCGCTCGCCCAGCTCTCCTCCCTCCCAACCTCCCGCACGCTCTCGCTCTGCCGCTGAACTGAAATTCTTGATATAACTCTCGAGCAGCCCGGGGGGAGGGCGCGAGCGGCGCTGCGCCCCCCTCCGCCGCTCCGCATTGGCCCGCGCAGCCGGGGGCGGTGGCTCCGCAGCGCGGCCCCCGCATTGGCCGCCGCCCGCGTCGCTCCCGCCGCCGCCGCCGCCGCGCGCGCGGACGGGCGGGGGATGCGCGGGGATGGGGAAGCGCGGGGATGGGGGAGCGCGGGTGGATGGGGAGGGAGCGCGGAGCGCAGCGCGCAGGGCGCGCGGGGGAGGGGAGGGCTTCGGGCCGCCCCTCCGCGGCGGCCGCCGGGGAAACGCGCAGCGGGTGCGCAGCAATAATGGGGAAAAATCAGTGTTTGTGCCCGTGTGGGGGGGGGAGGGGGAGAGGAGGTGTTACTTGTTTTGTTTTGGTTTTGGGGGGAGGGTATGCGGAGGCCTGCGGTGCCCGCGTATCCTCCGCGGCCGCGCCGGGGAAGATAACCCCGCGGCGCGGCCTCGCCCGGGCGTCTTTCTTAAGCTCGATGCTTAACCCATGCCTTGTCATCTGTAATTGACGGTGCTCCAACGCCAGCGCTGTCTCGGCGCCCGTTCGCGTCCGYGCACCTCTCCCCTTTCCCTTCCCGAGGGGTCAGCCGCGAATGCGCCCGGGGAAAGGGGAGCGCTGCTGGATGGTGCTCTCGTGTTCGGCTGCGTAAACAGGGAGCCGGGGAGCGTGCTTCGCTGTGGTTTGATAAATAGTAAAAGTGATCATTTCCCCTTCCCCTGAATGACACAGGTAAATTATCCAGCTAGCCACAGAGAAGCATCACATGCCTGGAAGGCACTGTAATAAAATGCCTGCATATTATGGTATGAGTGACCTCAAAAGTGTGACAAGAAGATGATTATTGTGCATTATATATATGGTGCGTTTTATGTTGTGCATTTCTCTACATTTTCTGCAGCATGAATGGACCTTTATTTGACTGCTTTTATTGCTAGCTTTTTGCAGCTTAAACTTGAAAGCTGTGTGACAGAGCACCTGTCCAATTTAGTGTGCCCAAATATGTGGCCATGCTAAGTAACTGTTTTTTTCTAGTTAAGGCTTTCAAATATAAATACACACCAAGATCAAGGTCAACATCAGTATTTKAATTTTTCCATACACAATACTGCAAATAGGTGATTTACACACTTTGAGTTGATCACATTGGTGAGCTAGAACTCTGAGTCTTTGCATCAGAAGATTTTACATTATTCAGATGTGGGCTCCTGCTTATATTCCCATGTATGCAAATACACATGGCACACAATTAAACCTGGAAGCTGCTTGTAGCTTTTGGAGGTCACTAATTTGCATGGCTTGGTTTCATATGGCACATATTGATATATGCACCTTTTCTTGCCAGGCATACAGCAGCAGACTCTATTGATACACGAGGTGAATGCTGCATTCATTGTGATCCCATGATGTGTAAAGATGAAACATTCTTTGCTCTGCATTGCATTGTATTTGTGTCTAAAAGACTCCTATTACTGAGACAAAGAGAAAAAAGATTGATCCTGGTTTTGATGACATCAAGTAATGGTAGCAAACGGAACTGATTCTAATAATAGTTTTAAGAAAAATGTTCATTATGTAATGCAGGAAGGATGGCTACAGCCCCAGCATTGAAAGTCAAGAAAGTGATAAGGAGCAACTTCATTGCCAAAATGCTTTGGGGAAAAGAAATCTGTGAATGAATTAAGAATGTAATATTTTCGTACTTTAAAATACAAAGTTGAACAGCCATTAATAAAGAAGATAATTAGAACTACTAGTATTTTGCGTAATGCAGTCTGCTCCTGAAATACTGCGTGCTTATGTACGCATTAATAATGCACACATTTTCCTGACACTAGTCATATCAGAGCAGTATGGCATCACAGACGGTTTATAGCCTCATCCTGGTAACATCCCAGACATATACCATTCTTATTCTAATCACACTATAGTCATTTCAATGTCACATTGCAGTCTCATCACATAGCCTGGTAATAATTATTTAACTTTATTGCTAAGCTGAATAGTTTTCTGTTTGCTCAAGGATGACTTTAACTTGTAGTCAGAACTGATTACCACATGCTCATAAATGAGCTTTTCTCATGTACACAAGGTTAGTCTCCTGAAAAGTTAAGAAGAGAAATAATAAAATTCCAGTGAACTAGTAGCTATTGCATTTAAACCCAGCAAGATCACAAGTTACAATAAGAAAACACATTTTTGTTCTGTTTTTTTCTTTTTTTTWAAAAAAAGGCTAAGATGTTTACTTGAAGATCTGTCATATTAGTGCCTAATGGCTTGCTTTAAAATGCTGTAGTTCTTTAACTAATGGTACATTATTAACCTCTTGGAAAAGATAGGTCTTCAGACTACAATGTTTGCACAATAGATTGTAAAATTGGGACTGAGAGTACCAAAGGGGTTAGATAGAGCTGTCACAACTGCTTTTAATAATCTTGGAAGGAAATTAATAGAACCCTGAATTCCTGAGTAGCAATAGCAATTGCCTGGTGCAGCATTATATGGCCTCCAAAATTTGAGAAAATGATCTAAAATGTCTCCAGTTCGCTTGGGTAGACGGGTTTTATCCTCCAATAAACGTTAATTCAGTTGCTCCAATATTTGGGGAAACTCTGGTATTTGTCCTGCCCTCCTCATCGAGCGCAGCTATGCACAGTTATTTGTACTGTTCCTTAATGGTGTCCAATCTTTGCCATAATGTATTAGGCTTTTGTCTGAATATAAGAACACTGGTCCCCTAATCACACTGTAACTTATAAGAATAGCTTCTGCATTGTAGCATATTAACTATTCCTCCACATCATTGTGTGTTATCTTCCCCTGCATATGATTATGTATCAAATTCTTTTCCAGATCATATTTGACTCAAATTCTAGCTTGCTAGAAACTGACTCCAATTATTCTGTACTAGCTATAGTCAAATTGCACTAAATGGAATTGCTTACATTGTATCACATTGGCTATGGGCTCGCACAATACATTATACATGAAACTGATTCACATTATGCTTAGCTAACTAAGGACTTTAATCTTGAAGTGTTGAGCATAAAGCATTATCATTCTTCATGGAACAGACTCTGGTCACTTGATCATTTTGTACCTGGGATTGCCTCTTACAGCCTGTTATTATTAAAGGAAAATGATTTTTCCTCTCCGACGGTTTTGCCACGTAATGTAGCAAGCTGATTCATATTGTAATGAGTTGAGCTCTTTCACTTCGTGCCATCAGGCTCTGGGGCCTGAGCTGCACTACACCTATAGCATGTGCCCTTCATTCTATTGTGGTGCATTCACAATGCATCATAAACTATTTTCCCATGGGTTCAAATGGCGAATTCCCATGTGTGCTAATCCTTTCTGTTACCGCTGGAAGCCTTATTCCCTGGACGCCATTTAAAACATTACCAAGTGAAGCCACAGTCCAGGCTTGAATAGAAAACAGCCAAGGCCAGATTGTCAGTTTTGCCAAGATCACGTACGGTGTTCCTGATATTCCTCCTTAAACTGAGAGATAGAAAAACCCCATGTAAGAAGTACAGGTGCCAAAGAATGGTACTTGTCCTCTTTCTCACCAGAATCCTAGGAATTTCATGAAGACAAAGGAGGAAGATGCTGTGGAAGACAGAACAACATACAGAGATGTTGCTCAATGGTAACCCAATGGTAACCTTTCATTTATATTCCTATTTTCTCCATATCCCTGTTTATTTTGTCCACTTTTTATACATATGATGGTTTGAATTTTAGAGCTTTCTTTGATTTCCTACTCTCTTGGGCACATAGCTTGACCTGCTATTGGAGTCAAATGAAGTCAGAAAAAAGTATTTTGTAGAATATTAGCCATATGTAGCTGCAGTATTTGCAAAAGGCCTAATAATTCTTGCTTCTTATACTATTTTTTTTTAAATTTAAAAATGTGTTTAATTATTTCACAAAGTAGCTATAAGAGCTCTTGGAATAGAAAAGCATTTCAGTAAACAATTCAGGACTTTATAGATATTTTAATACTTACTTTTAAATGAACAGCAGTAGCACATTAATGATGAGTTAATGCTGAGATGGGGGTAATAGTTGAAGAATTGGGCCCTTTTAGTGGCTCTTCCTTCAGGAAAATAAACTCAGTCCCTGGATAATCAAATCACAAAAGGGGCAGGTGATGACCTTTATTCCATTTGAATGGCAGAACTAAATTTAACTGAATATGCCATTTTTTTTTGACTGACAAAGATTGCAAATGTCAGTTCATGGCTCTGAAGGGTCTACAAATGCACAAGCTGAAAACTGGCATTTTGTAGTGCCAGTGTTTAATCCCTGTCACTGTATGATACAGCAAGGTGCCGAACTCCCATTAATTATGGCTGTTTATTTAAAGGCACAGATTAATGTACAGATTTGAATTGTTTGAGAGTGTTTTGTTGTTTTGTTATTTTTTTTTCCCTCACAGGGCTCTGGTAACTATTTAGTAAAACAATAAAAATCAATTTGGAAATGGCAAAAAGAGTAATAAACAAGTGCCATTTAAAATGCAATTATTGGACCACTTTAAAGAGATGTAATTGCATGTGGCACAAAAAGAAAAAAAAAGTTTTATTCTTTGCTACCCTAATGTTATTTATTGCAAAGAAAGTAGCTGATGAATCAGAACACAGAAGCAGATTCCAACCAGTAGGCTTTTGTGTAAGGTGAAAGTATTCCAAGACCTGCAAATAACCTCATGTGTTATTGATATTTTATTGTTTAGAAATAGGAGAACAAAAAAAAAGGAAAAGAAAGGAAGTCTAAAGGCTTTCAGACAAAACAATGTCTGAGGAAAGCTTTACTA